TCCCACTGTCCCCTTGGGGACACCGCTGTCACCAATCCCCATCCATTTACCCACGAGCCATTCAGCCATTCACCGCTGCTCTCTGTGTGCCATCTCCATCCATCTTCTCATCTCAGATGATGCACAGAGAGCAGATGACATCTGTGTTCACTTCAACTCCTCGAGTCGTTTTGCTTCTTAGCAAAACTGACAGCAAAATGCAGCCATTTCCCGTCGGCCGTTACTGGAGTGGAAATCTTGTATTTCCTGCAACTTCTGTTGTGGCATCGTAGAACCTTTTGGGTTGGAAGGGACCTTTAAAGGTTTCCTGGTCCAATTCTGTCCGTCTGTCGATCCTCACCGTACAAATTCCACCTTTCCTGGAGGCGTAAAAGCGGAGGTGCTGAGTGGGAAGGGAAAGCTTCAAGTGGGAGCATGGAAAAGTCCGAGCGCTGAGCGGTGCAGGAAAGGAATCTGGTGTTGGTATGTTTTCCTCTTTCCTGTCATTGCAGGCTTCCTCCCCAGCGTACAGCGGCTCCAACATCTATTCCCCGGATTCATCCACCAACTCTGGTCCCATCATCTCGGACGTGACGGAGTTGGCTCAGTCCAGCCCTTCAGCATCTCCCAGCGGCAGCCTGGACGAGAGGTGAGGGGGCAGCTCTGCGTTGCCGGGAGCCCTTTGCTGTGCCTGGAGGTCACTTGTGGGCGCCCTCACGTTCACATGGAGCTCCCCAGGCCCCGGTTTGTGCCCGCTGCACTGCCTCCTATTCCTGGGCACGGCAGTGGGGCTGCGGGTTCCCTCCGACCCAACCGCGCCGTGCTTCTGTCATCTTCCAGGACCCTCCCAACCCATTCTGTGACTCTGTATCCCTGTGGTCTTTAAGGACCCTTTTCCTGCCCAACCCATTTCACGGGGCCAAGGTGTTACAGCAGCTCCTTTTTTAGTGCCAGCATCGCTGGAAGAACAGAGATGGACCCGGCACCTCGAGGAAGCCGCTCGTGCACCCCTGCCCCCACCTCTGGGATGGCCAAAGCCTCCCCAGCACCCGCAGTGCTGCTGTTCCTCCCGTGAGCTGAGCCTTGTGGGCCCATCTTTCTTTATCACGTTGTGGCCTCTTTTTTTCCCCCTCCTCTTTCACGGCTTATTTCCGGCATCGGCTCTTCCCCCGAGGCGCTGGATCACCCACCGATGCCATTTATTGCCTCCATACCCCCTGCTAGCAACGCCGGCGCTGAAATACAGACCAGACGTTTGCTAAATGGCCCCTTTCGTGTTCCTTATTGCTGGCCTTTCCAGTGGGGCTGATGGAGCCTCTTCCACCCCAAACCACTGAGCTCGGGTGGTTTCCATCCACGCAATGGGGGGCTGAACCAAAGGAGCCACCTTCCGTCCCCACAGCAGCGCAGGGCTGCATCGAAAGCTGCTTGGTTTCAACTGCGCTGGTACAAAAAAAACCCAAGCGCCACCTCCTGCCTGCGACCCCCCTGCCCACAAGTGGGGCGCTGTGGGGCGCTGAGCGGCATCGGTTTGGTCAAGCGTTGATCAGATGGTCAACTACTGATCAGCTGTTGGTCAACTCGTTGTCAAGCATTGGTCAACTGCTGGTCAACCGTTAGTCAGCTGTTGGTCAGCCGTTGGTCAGCCGTTATTCAACTGTCAGTCAACCGTCGATCAGCCGTGGGTTAACTACCAGTCAACCACGGATCAGCTGTCAGTCAGCTGTTGGTCAACCGTGAGTCAGCTGTCAGTCAACCCCTGGTCAGCCATTGGTCAACTGTCATTTGGCCATTGGTCAGCTGTCAGGCAACCACTGGTCAACCGTTGGCCAACCACTAGGCAACTGTTGATCGAACAGATGATCAACCATTGGTCAACCATTAGTCAACTGTTGGTCAGCAATAGTCAGCTGTCAGTCAACCAGTGATCAGCCATTGGTCAGCTGTCATTTAGCCATTGGTCAGCTGTCAGTCAACCATTGGTCAACCATTGGCCAACCACTAGGCAACTGTCAGTCAACCAGATGGTCAACCATTGATCAACTATTAGTCAATTGTTGGTCAATTGTTGGTCAGCCATTAGTCAGCTGCAGTCAACTGCTGGTTAACCATTGGTCAACCTTTAGTAAACTGTTGGTCAACTGTTGGTCAGCCATGAGTCAGCTGTCAGTCAACCGGTGTTCAGCCATCGGTCAACTGTCATTTAGCCATTGGTCAGCTGTCATTGGTCAAAAATTGGTTGGTTGTCAATCAACCATTGGTCAATGATCGTTCTATCAACTACTGGTAGACTGTTGGTCAACGATTGGCAAACTGTCAACCGCTGGTCAAGTGTTGGCTGCCTGCTGGTCAACCAGGACGCCCGGTAGCAGTCGTGCAGAGCTCCGGTGCGCCAGGGGAGCTGCTCCAAACAGGAGATGCAGAAAAAGCCACATCAGGGAAGCTGGTTCGGATCAGAGTCGGGGAAGAAACATTTGGGGATGCTTCCAGCCTCGTCCCTGTGGCCGCCCCGAGGCTTTGCGTGCGCAGGATTTCTGCCTGGTCGCGTGGAAGCCGCCCCTGTGATGCTCACCCTCCTCTGTCTTCCCCCCAGGAGCAGCCCCGTGGTCCGCATCAAAGAGGAGCCCCCCAGCCCCTCCCGCAGCCCCAAGGTAGAGGAGGCCAGCCCAGGGAACCCCCCCGCTGTCGAAACCCCTCTGTCTCCCTCCACCTTCATCGACTCCATCCTGCAGGAGAACGAGCCCAGCACCACGACCGCCGCGGCCGGCAACAGCACCGCGCAGCCTCAGCCCCAGGAAAAGTGCCTCAGCGTTGCCTGCCTCGACAAGTGAGTGCCCCCCATCCGGGTGCTGCAGTCATTGGTGTAAAGGTGGACGGTTCTGTAGGGTAACAGAATCAGAAAACGGGTGGGCGCCTCGCTCCGATCTATAGGAGGGAGATGAGGTTCTTCTAACGAGCGGGTGAGATTGAGAAACAACGGTTTGTACGTTGTTTGTCACAACGTATTTGTGTTTATGTTTATTACTGGGGCCTGTCCTCTTCAGTATCTGTATTGATGGCCTGGAGGAGGGCATCGAGTGCACCCTCAGTACATTCGCAGGTGACACCAAATGGGCTGGAAGCATGGATCTGGGGTGGAGAGGCCCTGCAGAGGGATCTGGACAGGCTGGAGAGCTGGGCTGGAGCCAATGGGATGAGGTTCAACAAGGCCAAATGCCGGGTCCTGCACTTGGGCTACAACAACCCCAGGCGACGCTGCAGGCTTGGGGCGGTGTGGCTGGAGGACGGCGGTGAGGAAATGGAGCTGGGGGTATGGATGGATGCTGGGCTGAACAGGAGCCAGCAGTGTGCCCAGGTGGCCAAGAAGG